CTGCCGCCAGGGGGCTGGAGGCGGGGAGGCAGGGTGTCCTCCGCTCCAGGTCAACGTGGCGCCCGGCCAGCGGTCTGGCTCCGCAACACTGGGCGCTTGCAACAGTGGGGAGACATGACTGTGCGGTGGACATCTGTGGTCAGTCGCGGCCCGCCTTGTCTGTCCTGAGCACTCCGGTCGACACACACGCATTGCGCCGAGGCGAGCCGTCGGGTCACTGGTCAGGGTCACTCAGTGCCTGTGGCTCAGAGTTCTGGACGTGGCATCACTCGCCGGTGTAAACGAAAACGGCCCTTGTTTGCAATGTCTGCCTGAGTTTACAGGATCAGTGCCCATGTGAAGCAGCGCTTGTTGCGTGGGCCCTGACCCCACAATCCGATCATCAAGTTCCGCGTCAACGGCAAAAATTTTTGCGGCGAGAGCCTTACGTGTCGTTATGTTGGGCGCGGCCCATCCCACTGCCTGACGTCAGCCGACCTTTAGCGCGGTCGCATGCCGCAAGCCACCCCGGTCAGGTGGGCCTAATGCGACTCGAACCTAATCCGCCACGCGTGGGTGAATCGCAGGACAGGAATGCCGGCCACCAATTCAGCTAGCGGGAGGGACCTGGGGCGCTTCCCAAGGGACTCGGCCGGCAACAGTTGCCTGTACCGTGTACTGCACTGTTCACGCCTGTACCGTGGTGACACTCCATGCCACGGCTGACGGCAGCGGCGATCGGTGCGAGCGGCCGCTGGCGGGCGGCCGGCCGGTCAGCGGGCCCGGCGGCCGGCCGGTCAGCTCCCGCCGCCGCCGGTATGCGGGCCGGCCATCTCCAGTGAAAGTGCCGCCGGTCGCTCGGTCCGCGCGCGTGCCGCGCCCGCGGGCGGTGGGAAAATCGCGCCGCCTCCTGGAGCTGCCGCAGCCGGCGCCGGTAGCAGCTGTGTGTGTGTGTGTGTGTGTGTGTTTGTGTGTGTGTGTGTGTGTGTGTGTGCGTGCGTGCGTGCGTGCGTGCGTGCGTGCGTGCGTGCGTGCGTGCGTGCGTGCGTGCGTGCGTGTGTGTGTGTGATCGGCACGGCTGGGCCCGGTTCGACGGTGCGCGACGGCGGCGACCGTCGTTTTCACGCCGTACAGACGGTGGGCGATCAACACTTGGACGGCCGTCGGCCAGCTGGCGTCCGGTTCGGGCGTGTGGTGGGCGGGACGGCGCGGCGGGTCGGCCGAGATGGAGCGGAGAAACACGACCGGCGGGGTGTGCTGGCGGCGCGGCCTGCCGGCCGGCCAGCCGCGCCCCTTATACAGCGCGCTCGGCCAGCGGCGCCGGGCGGAGCACCGCGCCCCGCCATCGGAGTGAAACCGGCCGAGCCGGGCGGCAGCGACGTGTCGCCTCCGCAGGCCGGCGCCGCCGCCGCCGTCGCCGCCCACGGACGCCGCGCGGCCCGGGCCGGCAACCGCCCGGGGCCAGCCGTCGTCGGCGCAAGATCAGGCCTGGCGGGCGGTCAGGCCGGTCGAGGGGTGTTCCCAGTGCAGCGAAACACGGGGGCTCGGTGCTCACAAATACCCTGGCTCGATTACAAGCTGTCTGTGCTGGGATCAAGCGCCATAAATCCGTGCCCACTTTCGGCACACCTGCTTCAATTATCTGTCTGTGCCGGGGTGCGGCTTGGCTCCCCGTGCGCCATGGAGTCAGCGGCCGTGGAGCCCGCCGCTGCTGCAATTATGGAAGCGGATGCGTGGATGAAAGGAACTCCTAGTGTTTGCTACCTCATTTGCATAGCTGCAGTTGTCACAACAGACTTGTAAGACGATTAAAGCAGAAGTAGGACACTTATGTGGTTCGGCATCGGACATCGTGTGACGTCAGATGAGTCCCATCATCGCGTCGGACGTCGGACGGTCGGCGTCTGTCGCACGGGCCGGCCGGCTCTCCGGGGTCCGACTCGTCGGCGCGGGCCATTGTTGGATTGGCGCGGCCGCCTCTTTTTGCTCGTCGCCGTAATTCGGTTTTTCGTGGTTGGCCATTGTGTGGCCTCGCGTAGAGCCGTGTGTGCCGCGCGCTCCGAGCTCGAAGAGCCGTGAAAAAGCCTGGCGCCGCGGCATCAGCGCGCCAATCGATCCATCAGCGTGATTGTACGACGGCTGAGCGCGCGCTGACGTGGTTATCAGGCGTGCATTCCGTTGGCCGTCCACCTGAGCTGAGCGGGCGCTGCGAGCGGCAGCCGTCAGGCGCGGACAGCTGGTGAGGCCCGCGTGTAACGCCCACTTCCCCGCCCCCGCCCCTCCCCTGCGCTTACCCAGCTGTCTCTCCGGTGTCCAAGAGAAGTGGACCTCGTGGAACTGACCCAAGAATAGTGGGCCTCGAGGGAGTGACCTGGCATAGTCCGCTCTGTGAACACGCCACGTGGGCCCGCGGCGACGCCCCGCCGTGGCCCGCCGTCGAGCCGCCGTCTCCGAGGCCGGGCCTGTCGTCCGGAGCGGCCCTCGCTCGGGGCCGGTCAGCTGACGTGCCGTGTTGTGTGTTGCAGGCCAAGCAGCGCGCCTCCGTCCGCTGGCTGGGTGGCCAAGGCCTACAACTACCAGGTGCCGAGTAACCTGCGCGAAACCCGTACTACCGCGACCAGAGCGATGTGAGTACCGACCCGGCCTGGCGTCGAGCCAGGAGCTGTGTGAGTGCCTCCCCCCTGCCCCCTCACTCTGTCACGATCACCGTCACCAGAGCGGTGTGAGTACCGACCCTGCCCGGCGTCGAGCCAGGAGCTGTGTGGGTGCCCTCCCCCGCCCCTCACTCTGTCCACGATCACCGTCACCAGAGCGGTGTGAGTACCGGCCTTGTCCACAGGAATTGCGGCGGCCAGAGCCGTCAGGGCGTCCCGCCGCAGGGTTACGGCCCGTTCTGTGCCGCGTGCGGCGTGTGGGTGGCGGACTCGACACCGCATGCGTGGTATCCCTGCGGTACTGACGCGATCACAGCGCATCCACGGGCTGTGTTGGTGATCAGTGTAAGCGGCATCAGCTCACCCAGGTGGAAAGTACGCCTTGACATTAGTGAAGCAGCCCGCGCTCAAACTTACGTAGGAATAGCATATGTAACAACGCGGTGTTTAAGGCGAGGGAGCAGGCGATGAAAGGAAGTTGAGCATGGTGACAGGCAAGTTTGTGCCGAGGATAGGACGTGATGGATTTCATGTCCTAGGTATCTTGATATCCTTATCTGATATCCTCGAGGGTGGTAAGTGCGTGCGTGGTACCGGGCGGGGCGTGAAGCGGTGTCGGCTGCAGTGCCCAGACGGGACCGGGCGGGACCGACCGCCGTGGAGCGGCGCCACGACAGCGGGGCCGCCCAGACGGGACCGGGCGGGAACCGCCGGTGGAGGGGCGCCACAGACAGCGGGGGGCCGCCCAGACGGGACCGGGCGGGACCGCCGGTGGAGGGGCGCCACAGACAGCGGGGCCGCCCAGACGGGACCGGGGCGGGACCGTCGGTGGAGCGGCGCCGCAAACAGCGGGGCCGCCCAGACGGGACCGGGCGGGACCGCCGGTGGAGCGGCGCCACAGGCAGCGGGGCGTCTGACCCTCCGAGGCGTCCGTGGGCGGCGCGAGGGCGGCGCAGGGTCGGGTGGGAGAGAGAGCGTGCCGCGGCGCTGGGCGCACAGTGCTGCAAACGGGACGCGTAGGCTGGGGACCAGAGACGGTTCAAATCGCAGTGGGTCTAGAGGCAGGGTCACATGTATCATGTAGGGTTAGATGGGTGTCAGGTCAGCGTGAAGGTCATCAGGGACTTGGGGCCGACACCGGGCCCTCGGTCGCCACTCCATGTTAGCATTTTGAAAAGCGCTGGTAAACAAGGGCCGCCGTCGTCAGTTACGTCGACTGTGACGTGTCAGAAACAATCACCTCTGGCGTACTAGCTAACCGCGCGCTCGTGTAAATCACGCTCTGAACGAGGCTGTTGTAACCCGTATCAACCCACCAGCTTTGAGTGGCATGTGGAAACAACAGCCGGCGCTGTGTCAGTGGGCCGTCTGGCTGTGCGGGGCTGACGCCGGCGCTGTATCAGTTCCCCGGCCGTCTGGTCTGCCGTGCAGGGTTGGTGCTGGTGCTGTGTGGGTCCGCCCGTGCTGTCAGTCCTCCGGCCGTCTGGCCTGCTGTGCGGGGCTGACGCCGGCGCTGTTTCAGTTCCCCGGCCGTCTGGTCTGCTGTGCAGGGCTGGTGCTGGTGCTGTGTCGGTCCGCCCGTGCTGTGTCAGTCCGCCGGCCGTCTGGCCTGCTGTGCGGGGCTGACACCAGCGCTGTGGCGGCCGTCTCGCGCTCCCCCCTGTGCCGGCTGACCGGCCGGGGAGAGTGAGAGCGGGCCCGCCGGCCATGCCGGTCGGGAAAGCGGCCGGCGTCCCCAGCGGGCGCCTGTCGGGCTCTGCTCCGGCTCGGCGGGCGTCGGCAGCCGCACCAGCACCGAGAGCTGGCCCGCCGCGCCGGCCGCCCGGTCCCGACACAGAGCGCGCTCTGCGCTTCCTCTCACGCGGCTGGCGGTGGGATTTCGATTTCGCCGGCGATCGCACTTACGATAGTGTATGGCGCCAGCGGCTGGCCTAGTTCAGCTCCTCCTGTGGAGCCGTCTGTGGAACTGATACGTGCGACGGACTTTTTGCGCTTTTGCTGGGCCCGAATGGTGTGCCATATTCGTGCAGGTGCATTAGTGTCCACAAAGCGCCAGTGCGGCTCGGTCTGACCGCCGGCTGCACTCTGGAGCCTGCTGGAGCCGTACGTCTCTCGCGCGCGTGCGCCATCGCGTCGTGCCGCGTCTCGTGCCTGGACGCTGCGGCTGATCCGGGCAGGGCAGACCGGCTCACGCTCTCGGCGCCGCGCTGCGCCGTCAGCACGCCTTTCACCGCGCCGGCCCGCCCGCGTGTGGTGTAGCCGTGACGTCAGACGACAGCCGCAGTCGGAGCGCCAATCAGCGAATAAATCAGCTGGCAGTTTAGCATAGACGGTGCCAGAGGCGACGGAGCGGCGCTAAAACGTGTAATGGCCGGCCTGTCGGCCTCCCAGCCGGCGGCCGGCGGGCGCCTCGTCTCGCGCGTGGGCGGCACGGGAGCAACGGGAGGGGGGAGGGGAGCGCACGAGGTGTGAGGAGTTGGCGACCGCCACCTCATAGTGGCTGGGGCCGTAGAGTGAGGCTAGGTTTGCTTTAAATGTTGCCTCCAGACACCCTGAGGCCCGGTAATGCAAGCAGGTGATTACGCAATTTAGTATGGTAAACTGTAGAGGATGATATGATTACAGGTTCACCGTGGTAAATACACGGCCACAATGGCCTCGACTACGACGAGGTGGTGAGGTGCCGGAGCTTGCGCCCCGGCTGCCTCCCCGCCGCTGCCGGGCAGCATGCCGGCAGCGGCGGGACGCTGGCCTGGTGCGGCCCCGCCGCGCCGCCGGGCTCGGGCTCCGGCTCTCCCAGTCTCGTGCTGTGCCGGCCCTCCCGTGAGGCCTGACCTGACCCTGTGCTCGGCTGAGCCGACGGCTGGTGGGGGCCGTGCCGACTGAACCGACTGAGCCGACCCTCTGGCCGCCGCTGTGCCCGGTCCGTGTGTGGTGGTATGGGTGCCGTGTGTTGCAGGGTTGGCAGGGGCCGTGACGGTCGGCTGCTGTGACGTGTGTTGCAGGGCGGAGAGCGACTCAAGCCACAGATCGTGCACGCACTGGCCAGCGCCGAGCTCTACTGCTCCTGCCTGGCCAACATCTACGCCGACCCCAACTACCACAACCTGTCGCACTGGGGCATCATCCAGGCGCTGGCCAGGAAGGGCGTGTACGTGGCCGAGCCGAGCGACGTGGCGCTCACCGAGACGGTGCTCATCCAGACGGGACCCATCAAAATGGTCAGTACTGGCCGCCGGGCGCGCGTAACACCGCCGACGGCGGCGCCCCCGCCGCAGCACAGGAATGTGATGTGCTAATGCAGGACGGAATGCTGATGTGGAGTGTATGTGTCGCTCGAATGCTGGCGATCCCCAGGAGGATGGGTACGAGCTTGTTGCAGCGTCCATAAATGGCGCTCATCTGTCGTCGCTGTTTGCGCTGTGCCGTCACGTGTTGCCGGGGAGGCGGTGAGTCCACCCGGCGACGGCAGATCGCGGCCGGCCAGAGCAGACCGCCGCCGCCGCCGCTGCCGCCGCCGGGCCGTCGAGACGCCAGCCTCGCCCTGTCGCGCGCGGTACGCTGTTTGGGCGAGCGGCTGTGCGAGAGGCTCGGCCGGCCTCCTCCGCCGGCCCGGCCCGGCCCGGCCCGGCCCGGCGGACTAGCGGCGCTGCTGGCGACGTGGCCACAACGTATGGCGGCCAGCGAAAGTGGAGTACATGCCTTCTCCGGTTGGCGCGGGCAGCCGCGCACGCGCCGCCGCTTTCTCGTAGACGGTGCGTCACCCACGCGCCGTCTGTGTGGGCAAGCACCGTGTCGGACCGGCGCGCTCCGTCGGGCCCCGGACTCGTCACCGCGCCGCGCTAGTCGTGCACTCGGTATCCGTACCGGCTCCCGGGCGTGCGCTGGTGACGTCACCTGTGACGTCACCGGGCGTGGCCGGTGCCCTGCGTTTAGGCGGCTGTTGCCAGCCGGCCTGTCATCACGGCGGTGTGTGGTGACTCAGGCCGTTAGCGGGCCAGCGGCGGTCTCGTCAGCTGGTGGGCGGCGCGGTCAGCCGGCGGCGCGTCCGGAGCTCGCTTCCGGCCCCGGCTGTGGCCCGCCCGCGTCACGGCCGGCTCCGGGCCGCGGCAGGCGCCGCCGCACCACCCGGCGCCCCGGGCCGTGCTGCGGCCCACGCGCGTCACGGCTGGCTCCGGGCCGCGGCAGGCGCCGCCGCGCGGCCCGGCGCCGCCTGGCCGTGCTGCGGTCCACCCGCGTCACGGCCGGCTCCGGGCCGCGGCAGGCGCCCCCGCACCACCCGGTGCCCCCGGGCCGCTGTCGCCCGGCGCCCGGTGCCGGCCTCTGCCGCGGCCGCTGCGGGCAGGGCGGCGCCCGCCGCGCTGTCTCCCGCCGTGACGTGTGTGCGGTGCCGGGCTCCGTGCGCCGCCCACATTCGAGGCCGCGGACACAGCTTGCAAATGCACGCCGGAGAGAGATACGGCGCTCAGGACTGTCCGGCCCGGTCGGGGCGGTGCAGGGCTGTCCGACTCGGTCAGTGGTGATGCAGAGCTGTCTGGCCCGGTCAAGGGCGGTGCAGGGCTGTCCGACCCGGTCAGGGGCGATGCAGGGCTATCCGACCCGGTCAGGTGCGATGCAGGGCTGTCAGACCCGACCTCGACCTGCAGATCGTTACACCGTCTGTCCTGTGTGAGTAGCAGTCGGTGTGGGGCGCCTCTGGTGCCGTCCGATCGAAGCTCATGACATCCCCGACACCTCTGAGCGGCCGGCCATGTCAGCAGCTGTTCGCTCCTCGCGGTGTGTACACTGTGAGCACGCTGTGCACGGCCGCTGGGGTAGGGGGGGGGGAGTTCCAGCTGCGGCGTGTCGCCCTGCCGCCGCCGCCAGCCGGGCCACCTGTTCAGGGCGGCGCCTCAGCGACACTCCCGCCCAGGCGCCCGCCCCCATATGGCCACGGTCGGGCGGGGGACCGCCCAGCCGTCACTGGACGGCCCTTCGCGGCAGGGCGGACGCAGGCTTCGGTGACGGCTAATTGTAATGACCAGCAAGCCCGAACAAGTACATGTAGCGGCGTAGCTAACCTTAGAGGCAGGACGAAATGTGCTTGTACCGTTCAAATGACACTTCATTGGTGCCGAATGTGCGATCTGGGTGCTTTGTTGTCTTCTGGTTCAAACCGGCGGCAGAATGGCTTTCCACGCTCAGCGTGGACTTGTGATGCGTCGGCGCGTGGACATTCCAGGTCGCAGCTGGCTCTAGTGGGCTCTCGGGTGCGATTTGCATGCGTGGCACGTACAGTCCGCACAGTCGGAGGCCGGCCCGTGGGCAGATGTGAGAAGCTCTGCGCGGCTGGTGAGACGGTGGTGCGGCTGATGACGGCCGGCCGGTCTGGAGAAGCCCTGCTCCGGCTGACGGCCGCGGAGCACGAGCGACCGGGGCCGCTGTCCGCCACGTGCGGCCAGCACCGCCGGCGAGCGCGGGAGAGCGGCCACACGTGGTGACGGAGGTGGGAGGAGGGAGGCGCGGCAGCGGGTGAGGCCAGTCACCGCGCGTCCGCTCGGGCTCCATCGCGTGTCGGCCGGCTCTGTTGACTCGGCGCGCTAAAGTTAGCCGCGAGTGAGTGGTGCGCGCCGGCGGCAGCTGTGTCATCAGCGGCCGGCGTGGTGCGGCGCGGGGTGTCGGGGCCCGGCCGGCGGTCTCGGCCCCCCGACCGGCCCGCGGCACGATGGTGCCGCTACCGAAGCGCCGGGCCGTTCGCCGCCGGGCCCCGGCCGCCTCGGCCACCCCCTCGCTGGCCGGTCTCGGCGCCTGCGGAGCGTCGGCGGTCCTGAGTGGCGTCCCACTCTCGAATCGGTAGAGGTTGAAGCGCTGTGTTTGGGCGGCAACAGCGAGCGCCGCTTGGGTTTCGCATCGCTTTGTTATCACTGTTGTCGAAAAATCCACGGGAGACCCTGCGTTTCTGCCCCTGCCTTCTTCATATGCTCAATGGAACAGCAAACATGGCGTGTGGGCGTGGGAGTCTAGATAGGGACGAGTCCGTCTTTTCATCGTTCTTGGCTCGCAGCCTGTCAGCACAGGATCACCAAAGACCAATATGATCGTACCGACAAGGTCGTTCCTTGGTGCGTTTCTGATGCCTGCCATCGGTTGCAGGCTCAGCTGCCGTGTCGTCTGCCCTGTCCCCTCCCCGCCCCGTGTCGTCGTCCCGACTGTCGCCTGAGGTGACCTCAGCCCCCCTCCCCTCCCCTCCCCTCCCCTCGCCTCACCTGGCGCCAGCGCCCGGAAGTGACGCGCTGCTGGCCCAGGAGCGGCAGACCGCCGCGGTCGCCCTCTGGCTGTCCGCTGTCGAGTGGCCCGTCGGCGCCTGGACCGGTTGACGGTCGGCCTCTGGCTGTCCGCTGTCGAGTGGCCCGTCGGCGCCTGGACCGGCTGACGGTCGGCCTCTGGCTGTCCGCTGTCGAGTGGCCCGTCGGCGCCTGGACCGGTTGACGGTCGGCCGGACGGGTCATTCGGTGTGATGATATCTGGCTGCTCGGATGGCGACCTGGCTGGCTGGCGCTGCCCGGCGGCGCAGCGGTCCGAGCCGCCCATGGATAGATGGATGGATGGTGTGGTAGCCAGCGGCCCAGACCATCGGATGCACAGGCGGAGGGCAGCCGCGGATCTCCCTGTGACCGGAAAGGCGCTGCACTCTGGTGGCGGCGGCGGCCCGCAGGAGCCGGGCCATCTCTCCTCTCCATCGATGCGCTCGCGATTATTGGTGAATCAGGTGCGGCGCGGGGCCTTTGTTTTATGCTTTCATGCCTGACGTGTACGGCCTCTACGGGAAAGCCTATTCCATTGAGGCTTGTTTTCCGCGTCCGTGTCCGCCAGCTGATACTGAAGGTAGAGGGAAGGAGGAGAATGGAGATGGGCTGATGGTGCGCTCGGCCCGAACGGCAGGCGTGCTCGGCTCCGCCGGGTGTCCTGGTGCGGGGGCACCGGACGCCGACTGGGGCTCGCGCCTGCACCCGCGGTGCCGAGCTCGCCAGGGCAGGGCGGACCCTCCTCCGAGGCTGGCCGGGCCGCCGGGGCGCCACCGGTGCCCGCCTGGTCCGGCCCGGGTGAGAGGTGTGTCATTGGGGGGGGGGGGGGGGGGGGGGGGGGGGGGAGAGGCTGCTGCGGTTGTTTGACATTGGATTCCCCAGGTGCGAGCCTATCGCTGGTGTCTAGGAACACGTGCTGTCGGCGGCGCTGAATGACATTGACATTCGTCTGACCCACGCGTGACCTACGTCTGACCCCCGTGCACCTAGCCGCCTGTTGACCGAGCCTCGTCGCATCTCCCTACCTATATGGACTTCTGCTCCACGGCGATCGCCGGGTGTGATCTCCAAACGGCCCGCAGTGTACAAACCTGAAGCCGTGCCGCCCTGCCCGGCCCTGCCTTGGGTTGCCTTGCCTTGCCTTGCCTTGCCTTGCCTTGCCTTGCCTTGCCTTGCCTTGCCTTGCCTTGCCTTGCCTTGCCTTGGCCTTGCCTTGCCTTGCCCCTGCCCTGCCCTGCCCTGCCCTGCCCTGCCCTGCCCTGCCCTGCCCTATAGCTGTGCTGACCTGACCTGCGGCCCGTGTGTCGACAGAGCGCGCACATGGCCGTGATGGAGGCGATCATGGCGCTCTACATCCGCGAGGTGATCACAGCCGAGCGGGTGGTGGGCGTAGTGCGCCGCTTCACCCAGCTGCAGGCCTCCACCGAGCTGCCCGCCGACCAGGAGGAGGCGCTCCTGCTCTGGATCAACAAGGCGTGCGCTCGGCTGCGGCTGCAGATCGCCGCCGAGTGTCGCGCCCAGCCGGAGGTCAGTGGCGGGTCAGGCCGGCGGTCAGCCCGGCCCCGGCTCAGTGCTGGGACGGGGCGGCGCCTGGCGGCGACCGGTCTGACCAATCGGACGACGTTGTTATTGGGGCCCGATCTTGTGCCAGCACCAGGGTAGCCGTGAACGTAACCATGAAACCCCAGGGTCGTAGGGGCCTGATGTCGCATGAAACGTGTTTTGCGAAACTTGATGGACACCTTGCGGGTGTCTAAAGTATAAAAGATGAGCGTGTATTGTGCCACACAATATACGCGTATACTGTGTGGCACCGCAGCTTTGAGATTTTAAACGACGGCTTTGAGACTTTGAACGGCGCGTGCTGAAGCGTCCGCAAAGGGGCGTGCACCGTCGTACCGGGCCAGCCCCAGGGCAGCAGCTGAATGTTCCGCCACGCTCCCACCACGCCGCCGACGCCGGGGCCTGTTTCCGTCCCGTTGTTCGGCGGCGGCCCGCCGGCCATCTCTGCGGACGGCGGTCCGTACTGCCGGCGCCGTTAGTGGTGCGCGGGGTCGGGGCGGGGTCACGGCGGGCTGAACCGGAGGTCGGCCGCTCGCCGCCGCGACCCCAGCCGAAACTGGAGCGGCTCCGGTCGGGCCGTGGCGACCCCTGGCGACCCCTGGCGACCCCTGGCGACCCCTGGGGGCCGTCAGCTGGGGACGGCTCCCGGTCAGCGCCTGCTGCGGCCGCCGGCGCCGCCGGCACCTGGTCAGACCGGTGGCAGGGCCGCCTGTGCGGGAGAGGCCTCGCCGGCGCCGCACAGGCACGCACCGCGGCTCGGCGCCGCCGGCGGCACAGAGACCGCCGCTGGTGGAGCGCGCCATGAGGGGAGCGGCGGCTGGGCTGGCGCCGTTGAGTGTTAGCGCTTGCCTGCCCCACTCCTGCTATTGTGTTGGCCGGCTCGTGCGGTCCGGCTGGCCGGGTGAGCCGCCTGACGCGGCCGGCGTCGGCCGACAGGAGGGCGGCGTGCCGAGCTTCCCGCTGCAGCAGGACATGTCGGACCTGTCGGACGGCACGTGCCTGGCCGGCCTGGTGGCGCTCTACTGCCCGGACGAGCTCTCCTGGCCGGAGGTGGCCTTCTCCGACCCGCCGCGCATCGCCGACAGCCTCTACAACCTGCAGCTGCTCGAGAAGTTCTGTCACGACGCGCTGCCCTATAACCCGCACTTCCTCACGCTCGAGGACATCCTGTACATGCACAGGTGGGTCGGCCGCCGCTGGCCGCCGGCGTGCGCGGCGCCGGACAGCGGTGTGGGGCCTGCTCGAAGCGGGCAGACGTTGCACGCGAAATGCACGCATTGGCTCAGACATGGAGAGGCGTCTGATCAGCGGCCTCGCTTGTGATGGCGGCCGTCGGCGCTTGCGACTGCGCCCGTTGTTGATGCTGTTGTACCGCTGCCCGGCGCCGGCCAGAGGCGAGCGCCAGACGCTGTGGCCGTGGTGGTGACGAGGCCGCCGAGGCGTTCGAGTGACGCGATCTGGAGGCCACCCGGGCCGTACCGTGACCGGCGCTCTTCTGGTCGTCAGCTCGGTGAAACAGAACCTGCTGGTGCTGCTAGCCGACCTCTTCTACCTGTTCGAGATCAACCCGGCCAAATGTGTCAGACAGCCCGTCATGGGCAAGGAGAGGGTGATAGAGGAGGTGCGTTCACCATCGCGCGCCGGCCACGTTCGGTGCAGTCAATGCAGCTCCCAAAGCTTACTTCAGCCAGTAATATGCTTGTAAATTGTCTCAAAGTGCCTTCTAGAAGTGACCATGCTCTGTTCGCTCTGATACTGTTTGCATTGCACTGACACTTTTTATGTGACCTGTCCACCACCTAATGGTCTTTAAGGTGGTCTTTCCACCTTTATTTAGGTGTTTTTCCACCACCTTCAAGGTGTCTCTTTGGCGCGAACGAAAGGGAGAGATGTCTTCGTGAAACATAGCTGTGTAGCTTTGAATGGTCTAAGTGCTGTGCGTGCTGCCGTCTCCCGGCCGAGCTGCGCTGTGTGGAGCGCGCCGAGCGCCGGTGCTGACCTGACTGACCCCGGGCCGGCCAGATGCGCCGCCAGGGCGGCCTGGGCGGCAGCCCGCGGCGCTCTCAGCCTGACCTGCGCGGCTCAGCCAGCCAGGCGAGCAGCTTCTCAGGTCAGTCGCCGCGCCGCCGCCGGTGCGCGGCCGTCTTCTGTCCGCTGCGCCGACCTCCCGCGGCCGGCCTCAGGCCCGCCGCCTCTTGACCTCCTTCTCTGTCTCCCTCTCTGGCTGTCTGTCTGTCTGTCTGTCTGTCTGCGCGGCTGGACGCGTCCGTGTGGGCGGAGGCGCCGCGCCGGTCGTGACGCTGGTGGCGCCCCCTCCCCGCCGCACTCGGTGGCCCCGCGGCGGCCCGAGGCGCACGCTTGACTAACCGGTGGTGGAGGTGCGGCGCCGCTCCCCGCCCCGCCCTGCCCTGCCGCTGTCACTGCACCCCTACTAACGCCCCTGACCGGTGGCATGCAGGAGGGAAATACCCGCACTCAGAGCCATCTGTTGTCATGCGGAGAAGTAGAGGCTCGCGCTCGGCCGAGAGAGGGAGGCAGCGCTTCAGCATGTTTGAAGGTATGCTAGACACGCCCGGACGCCTTGCAAAGCATTGTCATTAGTGCATACAATGGATGAAAAGTCAACGGCGAGGCTGCCGTATCATAAAGTGCTCCGTCTTGCTGTCCTTTATAGTTTTTCTTCTGGGGAGTGTATTTTGGCGCCCGGTTTGGAGGTTGGCCTCGGGTAAAGCCTAATTTTCTTCTCTTTTACACTGTTGCTGGTCCCGTTCTGAGGAGTTGACGGATAGTTTCACCACCTCTACAGCGGAACCCGGGTGCATTCATAAGCGTTATTGTGAGCACTACGTGACTCTGGGTAGGTGATTTGTCGGGATTTTCATCGTGCTAACTCAAACGGCGTAGGGTGTCGGAGGATGCTTTATATCTCCTGAAGTTATGTTCTTTGTGGAATGGCAGGGGTGTCTGGGTATTATAGAGGCTATAATAGACCCATGAATCATATCTATAGAAAAGCTCCATGCTATTTTGGGCCATCATAACACTGCATCAGTTTGGCGATGGTATTCACGGGTGGTTAAATAAATGCACAGCGCGTGTGAATAAATGCATCGGTCCTAGTCTGGGCTGCCATCGCGGGCTTGGTTTGTGGCCGGGCGCGGGCGGTCCAGTCTCTGATCGCGGGCGGTCCAGTCTCTGGCAGCCGGTCCTGTGTCTATGTCTGCAGGTCTGTTGGCGCAGAGGGCTTGTCACTAACCTTGACTAACCAACTCCTGGACTGACCCCGACCCAGACCCAGACAAAGACCCGACCCTGATCCACGTCCTCACCCAGACCAGGACCCGTCCCTGACCTGACCACCCTGATCCTGATCCTGATCCTGATCCTGACCCTGACCCTGATCCTGATCCTGATCCTGATCCTGATCCTGATCCTGATCCTGATCCTGACCCGACCCCGACCCTGACCCCGACCCCGACCCCGACCCCGACCCCCGACCCCGACCCCGACCCCGACCTCGACCCCGACCTGACACACCAGCACCAGCACTTGTATCCGCCTACCCCGACCACCGACGCGCGAGACTGTGTGTGACGCCTTCCGACCGACACCGACATCGAGACGGAGACGGAGACGGAGACGGAGGCCGGCCGCGCCCCCCGCCGACGCACGCCCGTACGTATGCCGACACCGCCCCCACCGGCCCGCCGACGTCCGGCCGGTCGGTCCCAGGCCGTTGTCCTGACGTCCGCCGGCGCTCGTGTCGGCCGTGGCCGGTCTGTGACGCTGGCTGATCAGCTCCACTGCTGTCGCCGCACGGCGGAGCGGTGCCGGCCGCTGCTCGTTTTCCGAGCAGTGTCGATCCTGTCTTCTCGTAGACCTCGGCGTCCAGGGCTAAGAGTGGTAGAGCTCCGGCCAGGGAGGCAGACGTCGCTTTACAGGAGACAGTTGCCGGTGCAGTGCTCCACGACGGACGGGAGGCTTTTGGCGGGCGGCCTCGGAGACATGCCGGGAGATGTTTATGAAACAGTCGGCCTACGTCTGCGCACTGGCGCGGTCTCGGTTCTGGCAACTGCTTGCGGATCATTTATGCACTAAACATTGGCTCCCCTTTGCACAGCATTGTCGCCCCGTCTGCATCTTTGCACACTCCACGCATTGTCGATAAGACGAGGCGCAGCGCACCGGTTGGGTTTCGGTGGTGCCGATGGGCGGCTGTGCTCGTACCAGCGAAGCTGGTCCCAGGTGGTGGGTGGCGCCGAGGCGGGACAACACGTGACGTCACGGCGGGGTGGGGCCGGCCTGGGCGACGCCTCCGCACGGGGCAGACACGCCGGCCTGGACTCGGGTGACACATGCGTGGCAAACCGGACACGACGACGGCGACAGGGCACGCCCATCCAGACTGCTGACGTCACCGCCCTCTCCTCTCCGACCTCGGTTGGGCCGTGCGTGTCCAGTGACGTCACCACGTGACCGGTGTTTTGATGACAACCCGGTGTGCCGCGGCGCTGCGCGGAGCGTGCTGAGGCGGTGCGGTGTGAGGCGCGCGTGTGTGTCAGTGGGCGTTGGTAAACGGACGCCGCTGGGCCGACCGAAGGTGGGTGCTGCGCCTGGGCGTCGCTGTACCCGGACTGGTGGTGGCGCTGTTCGCACCCGGCCACCGAGCGGTGCCACTACTGCTCGCGGCCCGGCCACCTGCCGTTCGAGCAGCAGTGCTTCCACCATCTGGCCGACGGTAGGAGGGCGCGGCCGCCTAGCTCTGTGGCTCCGCAACCCGGCACGGCCTGAGACGCTGACTCCTGGAGCCGCCGACAGATGGCATCACCGGGCCGACGCTTGTTGTGGCCTGGTTTTTTGCTGTGGCATTTGGGCGGTTTTCGCCTGTGGCATGCAGTTTTGTTTGTTTGCGGGCTGTGTTTTGGGTAGAATTCTGTTACTGGTGGGATTGTATGGCGTCTGAAGATTTCTTGACATGGATTTCGTAGACATGCATCAACTACGAGTACCGTTGTATGTCAATTTGCAGTTTCGTGTCCGTTTGTGTGGCTGCGTGCTTTGTTTGCATTTGCTGGTGTTACAGTTAATTTCACCGTTGTGGCGTTTGTATGCGTTTGTTTCAGCATCATTTGATTTGATTCTAGGTTACAGCAAATGCTGTTAGCAGAAAGCGAGTTGAACGAGTTGATTGATTTTGACACCCGAATAGCAGCTATGATGACCCCCCCCCCCCCTCTTCCGTATTATGTGACAATGTAATTGCATTCTTGCTCATAAAACTTGCATGACGACCTGTACAGAACTCCAATGCACGCAAGTTCTTCCTTTATGTGCATCTCATAGCTTCCGTGATGCACACGCCATATTGAATGCATTCGTTATTAATTGTGAAGCCATGAATTAATAGTCAGGGGCTAATGGGGCTAAAATGTAGTATGTGTGATGCGTATGCATGTGTGTTATGTATGTATCTTTGCATTCTGACACCGGTGCACATAACTGGAACTGTCCCGTGACTGGAGGTCGTTTGGGTCCGGGCGCCCCGTTGCTCCGCGGGCGGGCAGCGCTCCGAGCTCCCCGGCCCATTTCGAGAGACTGCGGCGCCGCCGCCTCGTCTCGGCCTCCCTCCCGTCCGAGCCGCGCTCTCGCCCTCTGTCTGGGTGTGTGTGTGTGTGTGTGACGGGCGCCGGCCGCGTGTCGACAGCAGCGGGACGGGAGAGTCCGTCGGCACCGAGCGGCGGCTCGCGGCGGCCCCGCTCCGTCTACCCCGGCGACGACCGCTCCGTCTACCGCGACGACGACAGGTAAGCGTCCGGAGCGGGCGGGAGCCGCCGCCGCTCCGGCTGTCCCGGCTGGCCGGCCGGCCTCTGCCCCCGGCACGCCTGTCACAAGCCGTTTCGCTCGATCTCGTCAACAGCTCGTGCCAGGCTCTGTGCCGGTGTGCTACGTTTCCTTATAGGCAAACGGCCCAGACAAGGGATTTCAAACATGTGGGGGACGTGGACTCTTAGGCAGGTGAAGCGACAACGAGTTTTGTGTAATGACACATTGTAGAGTTGGCACGTTATAGGCTGCAAACGAAGTACGCGGTATATCTTGTCACAGGAAGAACTGAGAAGCGTCCAGGATTAGCAAAGGGAGTGATGTTGATGCATAACTGAAACAAGCACTGCGCAAATGTGCCTTTATGCATCAGTCGTACTTAGCAGCCTGTGCGGTTACATCGAGTCGGCCTGTCTGCCGCCTGGCCTGAGGGTGTCCCGGAGTGGCGGCAGTGCAGCGCGCTGGCGGATGGCGCCGGCGCTGCCCGCCGCGTCGCTCTTTCGGTCGGTCGGCTGACGGGGCGGGCCGCCGGCTGGTTGCAGGTCCAACTCGGAGGAGAGCGAGTTCGTGGTGCAGCGCGCGGCCGGCCCGCTGACGCTGTCGCGGCTGGCGCACCAGCGCCGCTCGCAGAGCCCGCCGTCGTCGGTGCACTCGACGAGCCGGCGGCGCCGCGCCGCCTCAAGGAGCGGCTCAACCGCGACACCAAGTGGGAGGAGCGCGGCGAGGAGCGGCGCGGCGCCGTCTCCGAGTGCGGCGACCTCGAGCGCCACCAGCCGGCCGGCAAGCCGTCGCCGAGCGGGCGCGGCGGCGGCGGCGGCCGACTCTCGCGGGCGTAACTCGTTCTCGGAGGAGTCTCAGCTGACCGTGGAGAACTTCGGTGGCAGCCAGGACAACCTGCACATGCTGGGCCGCAACCCGGACAAGCAGCCGGTGGTGCACCCGCGGGCCGGCGCGAGAGCAGCACACACCGCGACCTGCTCAAGGAGAGCACCATCAGCTTCGGCGACCGCGACCCCTTCCAGGACGTGGAGCAGGAGCGGGCGCTGTCGCGCAGCGCCAGCCGCCAGAGCCTGTACGAGACGCGCAGCGACAGCCGGCAGGAGCTCACGCGTCCGCCCAGTCGCAATCTCTTCCAGGAGAGCACCATCAAGGAGCACTTCAAGCCGACCGGCCGGCGCGGCGGCGACGAGCCCGCCGACGGCTTCCGGCCCATCGGACGCGACGCCGACGACGGCGGCGTCGACATCGACAACCGCGTGCTGGACGCCCTGGAGCGCGAGGCGCGCGGCGACTCACCCTCCAAGGGCAACCTGGTCATCATGTTCGACAACAACGACGAGCAGAAGCCGACCAGCTTCGCCGAGCTGTCCAAGGTGCAGCCGCGCGACAACGCCGGCGGCATCAACAATCGTGTACATGCAGCACGAGAAGGAGGACCGCGGCAAGGCGGCGCCGGCGCGCAGCAACGGCTCGGCGGCCGGCGCCGCCACCACCAGCTGGGTGCAGCAGCAGCAGAGCCAGCGGCCTGGCCTCCCCGGCCTCGGGTGAGTGGCGGCGCGAGGGGAGGGGAGGGCAGCCGGGCACGCTCACCGCCGACTGCCGGGGGCGGAGGGGAGGGGGACTCTGACCTCGCGTCCCCAGCCGGCTGCCGACCGGTAGGCGTGGGTGTCGTGCCGGCGACGTCGTGTTGTAGTCGTGTACGCTCTTGAAATTGGGAAAGCCAGTCAGTGGTGGAGTAAGGTTGTGGAGGTGAACGCAGTGGGCAGCGTAGGCTGGTGCAAGGCTGTGGTGACCGCGGTGCCCGGTGTAGGCTACCGCCGGCGCCATCTGTCTGCCACCGCCGGCTCCGCCCGCGGCTGCCGGCGCGCTCTGTGACGCCCGCTGCTCGGCCCGGCAGAGGGCGCCCCCGAGCCGGACGTGATGGCCTCAGAGCTGCACAGCATCAAACTGCGCCTCGAGGAGAAGCGGCGCAACATCGAGAAGGAGAAGCGGCGCATGGAGTCGGCCATGAGCCGCCAGAAGCAGACGGTGGGCAAGCAGGCGTTCCTGCAGGCCATGGGACAGGTGAGCGACGCACGGCGATAGTCGGGGACACGCGGCGCGCGGCCGGTTTGGCGGCGGCGGCCGGTGCCGGCCACCGCCATAGCCACCGTTTGTGTCTTGATGTTGTCGAGGGGTGATCTGGTGGCGGTATTGGGAGAGACCTGGTGACGGTGTGGCGGGGTTTGTGGGCGTATGGAGGTCTGGTGGCGGTATTGTGGGTGACCTGGTGACGGCATTGGGTGTGGCCTGGTGACGGTATTAGGGGTGGCCTGGTGACGGTATTGGGGTGGCCTGGTGACGGTATTGGGGGTGGCCTGGTGACGGTATTGGGGTGGCCTGGTGACGGTATTGGGGTGGCCTGGTGACGGTATTGGGGGTGGCCTGGTGACGGCATTGGGGGTGGCCTGGTGACGGTATTGGGGTGGCCTGGTGACGGTATTGGGGGTGGCCTGGTGACGGTATTGGTGACGGTATTAGGGGCGGCCTGGTGACGGTATTGGGGGTGGCCTGGTGACGGTATTGGGGGTGCGGGGCCCCTTGTCGCTGTGTCGTTGGGTGACGGTGTCGGTGCGCGTGCAGAGCAAATTCCGCGGCGGCGGCGGCGGCGGTGGGGGCGCCAGCAGCAGCGCCACCTCGGCGTCGGGCAGTGAGGGCGGCGACGCGGCGCCGGCCGCCGCCGCCGAGCCGCTGCTGGACAGTGTGGAGTGCCGGCCGGCCAGCCTGCAGGTGACGCCCCTGCGCGGCCCGCCGTCTGCGCCGTCCCCGTAGCCAGACCCGACTGCATGGTGTGCCTGTTGCCCTCCGGCGCGGCAGCTGCGGCGGCTGGCCGCTGCTGCAGCTGCAGCTGTGTAGTCGCCGCTCTGTGTCGCCTCGTGTGCGTGGTCTTGTCCCGCATGGCAGCACGACCCCTCTGAGTTTGACGCCCGGTAGGCTGCACCAGTAGCACCCTGTGGTTAGATAGGCATCCGCCAGCGGCGGCTGACTGCGTCCGGGGCACCTGTGTCGCTGGACGGAGGACCCCCGTAACAGGCTGGCGTGTTTAGGCCGCACCGGAGCCGGGTCGGCCTGGCTGGCCCGACTCAGTGGTGTCTCCACACGCGGCGTCCCCGCCCTTCCCCCTCGGTGTGGTCGTGCCTGACGTGTGCCAGCATGCCGCCGTGGCAGCCGCGTGGGCTGCAGCCGCCGCGCGCGGTCCAGCGCCGCGTCAGAAGCGCGGCAGCCGCGGCGTCCGCTCCGCCGCCCGTCCGTTGAGTGCTGAGCTGCGCGCGAGAGGCCGCCGCTCGGGCGGCAGGGGGTGTGCGGGTCAGACGCGACTGCCGGGCCGGGGTCGCTCCGGCACCGGAGCGTCGACGGCACTGTTGAAGTCAGCTTTTCGGTTGTGCCGCATCGCTGGCTGGCTGTCTCAGGTGGGAGCGACGTTTGGACGTCGCTGGCCGGCGTACAGTCTGGCCACGGACAGCGGCGAGAGGCTGCCGGTGCGGGCACGGAGGCGAGCTCTGGCGCCGGCGTCAGGCGGCCGCACCGTGACGACGTGCACGCGCTGTCCGGCAGGAGATGAGTCAGAATCTGAGCCACATGAAGGACAAGTGGTCTCGGGTGCCCGACGCCGCCGGCAGTCCGGACCTCGACAACATGGACTACGACCAATATACCAGCTCGCTGCACAGGTGAGAGCAAGAGCTCGTCTGGCCGCCCGGTCTGGCCGTGTCTCCTGTGTTCGGGGGCCGCTGGTCGGCGGCGGCGGAGCTCGTCTGGCTGCCGGGTCTGGCCGTGTCTCCTGTGTTCGGGGGCCGCTGGTCGGCGGCGTTGGAGCTTGTCTCCCGTGTTTGAGAGAGGGGAGGGGGGCTCGCCCGGTGCCGCTCCGCGTGCCCCGGTCTGACGATGTGCCATCGCCGCCGGCAGCATGAACGAGTCGCTGACGGAGCTGCAGGACGACATACAACGGCTGTCGCAGCAGCAGTCGCAGATGCAGCAGATGCAGAACATCATGCAGAACGGTGGCCAGACTCAGGTACGCCGACACGAGTCGCGGCTTGCTGATACCCGGCCATAGGAAGGCATACTGGTCTGAACTGTTCGCGGATCACGTACGCCTAAAACTGGGAGATCGAAAGAACAAGCCAGGTGGGCGGCTAGATGCATGGCAAGTCAGAACCCGTGTAGTCTGGGAGCTGGGCATCCCAGAGGCAGGACACCCCAGTGGCGCTCCAGGGGCACCCCAGGGAACGAGCGCTGCTCGGAATGTGCTCGTGTTGGGCGCACTCTCAGATCGCCGCCGCGGGCTGTCTGAAGGTCGGCTGTGCATGTTTCAGCCGCCGTACCAGCAGGCGTACCAGCAGCCGCAGTACCAGCCGGGGCCGCCGCAGTACCAGGCCGGGCCGCCGCCGCCGCCGCCCGGCCAGTTCTACCTGCACGACCAGGCCGGCCAGCGCCGCCAGTGGGGACAGCCCATGGCGCCCGACGACGTGTACCAGCACATGTCCCCCAGCCGAGCCCGCTGGGGCCAGCCCGTCAGGTGAGCACACCGCGGGTACGCGTGGTCCATGGCGAGGCGCCCGACCCGCCGACAGAAGGCTGCTGCTGCAGCGCTGTGGACCGGCCGGGCGGCCCGATGGTGTCCGGCAGGGCCGTTGTGCTGCGCTGGCGATCGAGTCGGCCTCCGCACCGGCGGCGGCATCGCACGGCGGTGACGCGTCTGGTGTCAGCGCACACTGCCCGCAGGACTCACTCGAGGCGCGCTCGGTGCCGGGCCGCCACCGGGAGGTGTGGGTGTGGGAGGGTGGGAGCTGTGTGTGAGTGTGGGAGGGTTGGAGCTGTGTGCGGTTGTGATCAGCCGGCCCCGCTCGTGTCGCCGGCCGCTGTCTGAGCCCTCGCGTTCGCCGCCGCTCGGCAGGCCCATGATGCCGATGCAGCAGCAGTACGGCGCGCCGCCGGCTGACCCCTACTACCAGCCGCAGCGGCCGTTCCTGCTGCACCACGAGCAGCAGGGCTAACCCGGGCGCCTACCACTCGCCGCAGCACCACCGACTCGGTCAGTCGCCCCGCGGCTGTCCTCCCTCTCCTCCCACCACCTACCACTCGCCGCAGCACCACCGACTCGGTCAGTCGCCCCGCGCTGTCCTCCTCTCTCCCACTAGCTGTCGGTCTCCCCCTCTCGCAAGGGAGGGCACCCGCGTTTGAAAGGACGCGCCCGGAAGGGAACTGCTCTGTTAACCTGTTAACGGAAAAAGGGCTGTTTCGCGACGGACGGAACTCGACAGAGCCACAATGCGCATCACGGGTGTTCGGCGCGCGTTGTACGAGCTGCGTGATACGACGGCGTAGTTCTGCGTATGTTCCTGACCCAGGCTGATGCCGTGTGCGGTGGATAGTGCTTCGCTTCAGTGCAGGTTGCTGCGGCTCTGGATTCTGTAGGTGGTGCGATGACGCGGGGAGTCGGTGGCTGTGCCGGACCTGCGGTCGGTTGGGGCTCCGCACCAGGTGCTGCCGCTGTCGTGATGTCGCCGCTGCGCCCGCGCGCTGTGCGTTCCGCCTGACCCCTGGCCCCTGACCTCGGGCCTCTGACCCCCATGGCCGCTGACCGCCCCGTCTCCCGGCGACAGACGGCGGCATGATGGCGCCGCAAGGCATGCCCGGCCCGATGGCGCCGCCCGGCGGCTACCACCCGGACTACGCGGGCGTACCCGCCGGCGCCGCCGCCGCCGGCCGCGGCCGCGCCTGGCGGTGGCTTCCGTCTGCACGGCTCGGGCGGCGGTGGCGGCGGCGGCCAGGAGCCGCGCGAGCTGCGCGCCGGCCAGAGTCCGCGCATGTACGGCGACTTTCAGTACGGCCGCGAGGAGCAGGGCTCGCCGCGCGTGCCGACGGTGCGCCGCAGCACGCCGCGGCGCCGCTCGCCCTCGCCGCGCGCCGGCCGTCCTGCACGCGCCGCTGCCGGCGCCGCCCATCGACGACATTGGCGCCACAGAACGTCTCCTTCATCGGCGACCAGCAGCAGCAGGAGGAGGAGGAGGAACGGCGCCGGCGGCCGGAGCCGGAGCCGGCCGCCGGCGGCCGCACCTACCGCCTGCCGCGGCGCTCCCCCGGCCGAGCCGGCCGAGCGGCACGAGCCGTCGCCGCCGCGGGTGGTGTCGCGCGCCGCCCTCTGCCGGCAAGACGTTCAAGGTGGCACCGCTCGCCCAGCCCGCAGAGCCCGTCGTGGGCGGCGCGCCGCGCCGGCAGTCAGTCGCCGCTGGCGGCGGCGCGCGGGCCAGCAGCAGCAGCCGCCGCCTCCGCCGGAGAAGGAACAGGACGAGCCGTCGCCAGAGGTGCTGGCTGCCATGAAGGTCGACAAGATCCGCGACAGCGCCGACCCAGAGCTTGGTGAGTGGCGGCGCGCCCTATCCCGCCCTGCCCTGCCCTGCCCTGCCCACTGCTACCACCCCCGCCCCGCCTCGCCGCTCCCACGCTGTCGGATGCAGGCCGGGCCGATCAGCTGATGAGCGGAGCTACCAGACGTCCGTAGTCATGGTGTGGAATAACCTCTGTGACCATCTCTGTTTGATGCCGGTATGTGTGATGGCGAGATACGGGAAAGGCGATGGGAAAGAAGCTGAGTCGTGTTTTAAAGTTGTTCTTGTAAGCCGCATTGTTCGTGTTAAGCGGAACAGCGACCCTCAGCGTGGCACGCGCGGCTGTGCTGTGCGTGGGGACGCGCCGCGGCCAGCGCGTGACGGGCCGGTCTGGGCGGCAGGATTTGTGATATCGTTTGACGACGACGCCGGTCCGCGGAAGCCGAAGCCGCGCCTGGGGCGCCCGTCCGGACGCCGGCGAAGACGGCCAGCTCCGGCGGCCTGCTGGACAAGCCGCGGCCTGCCATCCCGGTACGTGGCCGAGCGGCGCCCGCCGCCGCCGCCCTCGGTGCGCTCTGCGCCGGCCGCGCCGCGTCGCGGCGCCCGCCGGCTCTGGCCGGTCGCCTGCTTTGGTTGTCAGTTGCGGAGCACGTGCCTTGCGCCATGTTGTCACGCTCGCACGTTTGCCTGCTCGTGTTCCGCACGCGTCCGTGTCGCCGTCCGCACCGCTTTGACGCGCCCACCCGCCTGCAGCCCAAGCCGAAGCCGTCGGCCTTCTCGCTGGGCGGCGACGGCGGCGGCGGCGCGGCGTCGGGCGCCCCATCGGCCTTCTCCACGTACACCAAGTGGCCGCGGGCGGCCCGCGCCGAGCCGCCCGCGCCGAGCCCAGAGCCGGAGCCGGAGCCGAGTCCGGAGCCGGAGTCGAGTCCGGAGCGGGAGGAGTCACCGGCGGGGCGGCGGCCTGTCGCTGGGCCCGGCTGTCGGACCCGCGCCGCCGCACGGCGCCCGCCGAGCCCCGACCAGCCGGACGGCGCCGGCTCGCCAGCCAGCCGGCCCCTCCTGGAGAAGGTGCGCCGGGGCCGGAGTGCGCCTGACGCAGCGGCCCGCTCCGCGCTTCGCCCGGCCGCGCTCAGCGGGCTCCGAGTGCGCCGTCTGGGTAGAGGGCATGGATGTCGCCAGGTCCGCTGGCAGTTTGCACGCGCACTGCTGCTGATATCACTGTTGGTGCCGTCCACGCTTACGAGGCTGCGCCGCATGCGTCAGACCGGTGCGAAGACGTGATTGTGCGCATGTGTGTGTGTGTGTGTGTGTGTGTGTGCGCGCGAGATTCGGGCTGAGCCGGGCCGTGTGTGTCGCTCGGCAGCTGGAGGTGGACCCGAACCTGCCGCCGGAGACGATGCGCCCGCTGCGGCCGCCCAGCCAGAGCTCGGCCGGCGTCGGCCTCGTGATCGGCGACCAGCTGGTCAGCCCGCAGTCGGTGAGTGGTGCCGCCGCCGCCAGAGACGCGCCGCGCTGCTGCCCGAGCGCCGGTGGCGCCGCCGCCGCCAGAGGCGCGCCGCACTGCTGCCCGAGCGCCGGCGCTGGGCGCACTGCAGCCCGTGACCTCTGCTGCCCATCCGTCGGCCTGCGTCCCTGCTGGCCGTTTGTGTCCACCACTGATTGTCTGTTCCCTGTGCAGGAGGCCATGGACGAGATGGAGCGGAAGAAAGAGCGCATTCTCATGATGTCGCTGAAGAGGAAACAGGATGCGGAGGCGGCGCGGCGCCGCAAGGAGGAGGAAGCTCTGGCGAGGAAGGAGGACGAGGCGCGCAAGGAGGAGGAGAAGCAACGCAAGAAGGAGGAGGAGAAGGCTAAGAAGGAGCGCATCTTCGAGCAGTACAAGCTGAAGAAGGCCCGAGAGGAGGCGGAAAAGAACGGGGTGAGTAGGGCGTGGCCCGACACGGCACGCGCTCGGCGGGGGAAGCACCAGCCGCGTGCCGGTGCTGCGCGGGCGGGCAGCGTGGCGCCGGTGCTGCTGTCGGCCGCTGTCGGACGGGTGTGGTGCGGTCGGCGCCGTCTGCCGCCGGGTTCGGGTGGGGGTCGCTGAACACCGGCCGTGGTCCGGCAGACGGCGCCGCCTCCGATGCCCAGCAAGCCGGCCGTGCGGCCCCGGCCCAAGTCGACGCCCAGCAAGCCACGGCCCAAGTCGATGATGGACGGCGGTCCGATGACGCCGAGCCGAGGCGGCCGCGGCAGCAGCTCCAACCTGCAGGCCATGTCAGGTCAGTGGACGTGTGAGCCGCCGGAGACGGGCCGGGTCAGCCGTCTGTGCCCTCAGGCGTGGTCGGCGCTTTCCGTTCGGTGGCCGAGCATGGAGCCGGATGGCCGCCGGCGCCGTCCTTGGTCTTCCCTGTCGCCTGCGTCTGATGTGACCCGGCTCTAACTGCCTCGCCTCGGCCGGAGCCGCCTGCCGCCTGTGCTTGTGTCCTTGCGCCGTCTAACCCTCGGCCTGCGGCGCATGCGAAGAGGTGGAGCCGGCGGCTGAGGCGGCGCTGGGCAGCTCGCTGGTGCGGCACCGCAGCCTGAGCCGGCGGCGGCGCTCTAACATAGCCGTGTCGACGCGCTCCAAGTCGCTGAGCCGCCGCCTGCAGACTCCCGAGCAGCTCATGTACCCCGGTCAGTGTCGGCCTCTCAGTCCGCCAGCCAGCCAGCCAGCAGCCAGCCAGCCAGCCAGCCAGCCGGGCGGGCGGGCGGTGACGACCGCCGCCGCCCCCTCGGCTGCTGCTGCTGCCGCTGCCGCTGCCGCTGCCTCGCACCGCTGGCACGGGGCCGGGGGTGGGCCGGCCGACACCACACGGCCTGCAGTGATCACGACACGCACCATGGTGGCCGGTGCTCCGTCCCCCAGTCTGAACGCCTCCCATCCCCCCGCCTTCACCACTTCACCACTGCGCGCCACCACGCCGCTCTCGTCTCGCCTCCGCCTGCACCGGTCTCCGCCTGTCTGGTCAGTCGTCCCGGGGCTCTAGCGTTTCCAGGTAGTGCTGCTCGGGTCGCGGACACCATCTGGCGGCTCGCTCCGCCGCCATCGCATGCCAGCGCTCCTGCCGGACGCATGCTCGCTCTTTCAGTTGCTCTGCGCCGCAACCACCGCCACCGCCGCCGCCGCCGTCCGTCCTGTTTCGTTTTGTTTGGCGTGCCCTGGCTGCCTGGTCGTGCTGCGCCGTGCTGTGCCGTGCTGCGTGTGCCCTGAACGCTCGCATGGCAGACGCCTGAACGCATGTCGCCCGGCCTCTCTGTTTCTAGACAAGGGCCGGGAGGGCAGCGAGCAGTGGGGCTCGTCCTCCAGCCTGGCGGCGGCGGCCGGCTCGCGGCGGGGCTCCAACGCCAGTCTGTACGGTGAGTACTGTCCGCACCGCGCCCCGCGCACTGCCGCCACCCGCCCGCCCGCCGGCCACGATCGCACTGTGCACTGCCCGCTCGTCCGCCACCAGCGCGCGGCCCGTGGCCTGACGCCGCTCTCTCCTCTCATCTGCGGTTGCAGAGCCGAGGTACTCGAGACCGGTGGCGGGCCACTCGGGACGCAAGGTCTCCAACGGTACGTCTGTCTGCCGGCTCCGGCCGCCTCTCACTCTCTCACTCTCTCTCCCGCGCCCGCGCTCCGTGTCCCTGTGCTCGCCGCTGTCCTGGAATGTCTGTCGAGCTCGCACGCGCTTCTGGACGCCATGTCTGCTTGGGCCCTCGGGCGCGTATCTCATTGGCCGTGGGTGGCGCGCGGCCGCGCCTGCCTGCTGTTAGAGCCGCCAGCCGGGCGTCGGCCGCGGCCCGCGCTGTGCGCGATCCGCTGCCGCCCCAGTAGCGCAGAGAGCGTAGCCGTCGCGTTGGTTGTGGTCGGCCGTCGCCCGTCTGCGGCGGCGGCGGCGGCGGCGGTCGGCCGTAGCTGTAGTTGTCGGCACGGCCGCACCGCGTCGCTTCACTTGCACCGCCTTGGCACGCGCAGACGGCGGCGGCATGCGCAAGGACGGCCACCGCACGTCGACGGGCAGCTTGAGCGGCACGGCCGGCCGGCCCCGCTCGCGCATGGGGCCCCGCACTGGCAGCTCCAGCTCGCTGTACGATGACGGTGAGTGGCGCGCCGGCCCGGGCCGGCGCGGCCAGCGCCCGTACGCTGCGCTCGGCTGCTGGCCTCGGCCGTGTCTGGCACGGCACCTGACGTCGGATCGGTCAGGATGGCGCTAGTTGACGTGCACTTTCCCCACCGCGCCAAGAGGCGGCTGACGGGGTGCCGACGCTCGGCGCCCGCCGCCGACACAGGTGGCGGCGACGCCCGCTCCGGTCCGCCGGCAGCACGCGCGCCTCCCCCCCCCCCCTCCCCGTAGGCTGTGCTCGCCGGTGCGACCGACCGCCCGTGCCGCCCCTGAATCGGCGCGCCATGTCGGCAGCGGCGGCAGCCTGAGCGGGCCGCCTGGGTCGGGCGTGACGTGCGCGCCTGGTCTGTGTAGTCTGCCGTGCTGGCGCCGTTCTGTCTCTGTCTGTGTAGCTGTGCGCTGCCGCCGGGCCCGGCCCGTGTCTCGTTGTGTCTGCGCACGCTGCTCCGCCTGCGCCGCCGCCGCCGCTCTCTGTCGCGCCGCCTGCTGTCTCTGACCTGCTCGTGTCTGGCCCAGATTCGGGCGGCTACCGGAGAACCCAGTTCGCCCACTCGGGCCGACGACCGTCAGGTGAGTGGAGCCCGGCCACTGGAGCGGACCGCCCCGGGCCACGCTCCTGCCCCCCCGGTCACTGGAGCGGACCGCCCCGGCCACGCTCCTCCCCGAGACCTGTCAGCGACGGTGTGGCCGCTCGGCGGTGGGCCCATTTGGTTATCAATCTCTGCTGAACAGCTGGGTGTTGTGGAGCGGGGCTGGTAGGAAGAGGTGCGAATTTTGTTGGCGACATGATTCAGCTACGTGTCTTAGCGGTGAACAGCTGACACCTGTGGCGACCTGATCTGAGCGTCGGCCCGGTGGCCGGCCGCTCGGCGAGAGGAGAGGCTGCTGACACAGGCAGGGCGGTCCTGAGTCCTGGCGTCAGCGAGCTGCGGTGGGCGGCCAGCTCGGCGCTGGTGCGGCCGAGGCCGTGTCCGTCCCACCGCCGCTGTGATGAGTCGCCGCCGCTGTGTCGGCGCCCTGTGCTGTGCTGCGGGTGGCGCGTCCCTGCCCGGTCAGCTGTCGTCTGTCCGTGTGGCCGGGCTGGCGCTGCGGGCGCGCGCCGCGTGTCTGACTGGGGCGCGTGCGTGTAGCGGCCGCGGAGCGCGCCGGCGCCGCCGGCGGCCAGCGGCCCAGCCTCAGCGGCGATGTCAACCGTACCTACTCGAAGGCGGCCGGCGTCGGCGGCCGCCGCCATCACCAGTCCCTGACCAACCTGTTTGGTGAGCCGTCCGGCGCCCTCTCTAACCGCGCGCGCGCCAAGGACGCGGCGCGCCGGCCGCCCGCTCTGTGGTAACCCCGCTCGACGGTCTAACAGAGGTTTCGGTCTGTAGTCGCAGGGAACGGCCGTGTGTGGCGGCTCTGTAGTCGCTGGACTCGCGCGCGTTGGGAGGCTGCTTGGTGACCCTGTAGTGGTGTCTGTTTAGTCGCCTGTTAACCTACTAGCGTTCGTCGCCAGTTAACCGGGTGGAGTGCGTGCCTGTTCACCGTCAGCGCTTCGCCTTGTGTGGTGGCCACCGAGTGCCACGAGTCGCTTGTGAGCGCGTGTGATGTCGGTGGCTGCGCGTGAAGCCGTTAACGCTGCTGGTGCGTGGTAAATGTGTGGCACTCTGCGTCGCTAGCAGCGTTCAGATTGTGTGCGCTGGTTCCGTCATCTCGCGCGTAAACCCGCTGGTGCGGTGGCTCAGCGGCGGCCAGTACGGCTGGGAGCTTGTGTTTACCCAATAACACTGCGAGTTTCCGCTAACCTTAGACGTAGCGCGCAGGCAGAAGCCCTGCAGCGGCGCGTGTGAAGCGTGAGCGCGTCAGCCGCCTGGCGGCGATGCGCGGCGCGGACGTGACGCCGCCGTGTTGACATGTTGTGTTGGTTGTTTGCCGTGTCTGCTGCAGTCTTGGCGGGCAGCCGCCTGCCGCCGCTGGGCGGGCAGGCATGCTGCTCCTCCCGCCGCGTGCCAGCGGTGGCGTGGGCGGTCGAGAGTCGAGAGTTGGAAGGGTGTGTGGCCGAGCTCTGATCCGGCCGAGGCGGCTGCGGAGGCCGGCCGTGCCGCCGCGGAGGTGCCATCGCCTAACCCGACCTGACCTGACCTCAGGCGGGCCTGTGTCGACAGGCACCGGCGGCGGCACGCCGCGCTACTCGGAGACCGACTCGGGCCTGGGCCGGGACACGCCCACGCGCCGCGGCGTCTCGCCCGGAGGTGAGCCACGGCCGACGCCGGCGTCAGCTCGGCGCCGCGCCAGGAGCGGGCCACGTGACGGGCTCCGCATGACGCCAGATGTTGTGGCCGACTCAGCGTGTCACCAGAGCGCGGTGTCTGTAGCGGGCGATCTCTCGGGGTCGGCCGAGCCGCCGCTGTCGTGGCGCCGCCGACTGTCGGACGGCTGCGCGGGGGTGCGCCGGGGCCGAGTGAGGGGCCTGCCGGGCGACGGGTCCGTGGAGTGACGCGCGCCTCTGTGTGTCGGACAGCGTACTCTCGCGGCGTGACGTCGCCGTCCGGTCCCGGCTCCCTGCCGCCCGGCCTGGTGTCGCGGCGACGCAACTACGGAGACGACGCCGCCAGCGACACCTCGTCCATGGCCAGCTACGACTACAACGGTGAGGTCTGGCGGCGCGCGGGCGCGAGGCTGCCGCTGACGCACGGCTGGTCTCCCGGCGATCTGCGGCTGCTCGGCCGCTGGTCAGCTCCAGGGGCGGCAGCGGTAGCAGCGCACTGAAGCTGTTTATCCAGCAATTATCATACCCCAGGAGACACCCAGGTGTGAACAAGTACAGGGGTGGACGTAAGCGTGAACTTGTATCACGTGCTTGCAACGGCCTGGGTGTAATCCCCTGAGCGTGGGTCAGCCGTGTTATGAAGTGACGTGTGTGAGATGAGACTGCCGCGCCCTCTGGTGACCCGCTCTGACGCCAGATCTTCGCACTCCTTCAGGGCCACGCCTCTTCAAGCAGCCGACCACCAAGTCGAACCGGTCGATCCTGCTGAACGCCGTCGAGTACTGCGTGTTCCCGGGCGCCGTCAACCGGGAGGCCAAGCAGCGCGTGCTGGAGGAGATAGCGCGCGTCGAGGCGCGCCACTTCCTCATCCTGTTCCGGGACGCCCGCTGCCAGTTCCGCGCCCTCTACTGGTCAGTGTCTGGGGTCTGTTGGCCGGCGCGCGGCGCCGCCGTCCCGACGGGGACGCGGCGCCGCGCAGTCCTCTGCGTGTGCTGCGCCGCTGACAGTCGCTCGTGTGCGTGCGCCTCTGGCTGTCGCTCGTGTGCTGCGCCGCTGACTGTCGCTCGTGTGCGTGCGCCGCTGACGGGTGCGACGGGCGCACGGCCGGCTCGACGGCCCCGGATGAGCGGGGGGGTCGCCGTGCTGAGTGGCCGCTGACTGGTGCCGCAGGTACGAGCCCGAGACGGACGAGGTGGTCAAGCTATACGGCACCGGACCCAAGATGGCCACCGACAAAATGTTCGACAAGTTCTTCAAGTGAGTATCGCTGGCCTGGCATGCTCACATACCATACTGGAGAGAGCCTGACCCGCATGTGAACCGTACGTGATGTGTAGAAGATATAGACAGCCTGACAGAGAGCTGTGCCTCGGTGAGCGTTGTCGTGGAGTGAACGTGTGCACTCTGTCCATCCAGGCTGACAACACTGTTTGGCCTGCGTGTCCCGCAGATACAACTCCGGCGGCAAATGCTTCAGCCAGATCCACACCAAGCACCTGTCGGTGACGATCGACGCCTTCACCATCCACGACGCGCTGTGGCAGGGCAAGCGGCCCAGTCTGCCCAGCAAGAAGGACATGACCCTCGTGACGTAACGGCCGACCGACCGGCGCGTCCCCCACCCCCTCCCCCCGCACACATTCCGCTCTCGCGTCCGCCAACGTCTCAGCTAGCTCTAGACCCGTGGATGTGATATAGCAAGTGGCTTGGTCAGCTGGCGCTCGGACGGCCGCGAGGCCGGCAGCTAGGACTAATACTCGTGCTGCCATCTGTGGGCACGGCGGCCAAGCTGTGGCGGCGTTTCCTATTGGATGTGGCGCCGTCGGCCGTCGCGCGGCCGTTCCCGGCGCGGACTAATCGTGATAAAATGCTGCTTGTGCGCGTGTGATGTGGCCCGCCCGGCCGTCCCGTGGCGTGTTAGCCAGAGACAATTATGAAACGCATAAGAACTAATTTGCGACTGTCGGGTCGTGTTGTATATAACTAGCTTTACTAATGTCTGATGCATTCTTTTTTATTGCGTTTTGTTTTGTACATTAGCTGTTTTATCGTCATCTATTCCAAACGCTGACTGTAAAATATTAACGTGGAAGTACTGGTGTCGACTAAATGTTGCTTTTCCCAACACCTAATAAATGAGCCGAAAGAACCTGGACCGGCCGGTGTTTAAGCCCGGGTGGTGATTGGTGTGGGGCGTACCGTGATACGAGTTCCTCCAATGAGCTGATGTTACCAGCAGCGGGCCCGAGCGGAAGATATAACCAAAGAGCAGCTTTCGTATGTATTTTTGCCATTCTTCAGAGTCATTTATGCTTCATTTTTGTTGTCGACAACAAAAAAGAATAGTCAACTAGGGAAAACCCATCAGGCTTTCGATGACCTAATAAAACTCATGCTTTGTCGACGCAATCTCGCATACCCTTAACGTGTAACGATGTTATAGGACCTCTGGGGGTTCGGCATTTCCAAAGCCATAAGACGTTTGCTTGCAGCCAATGGGCAGCGACGTTTGGTCAAGGACTGATTAGCTCAGTGCCCATTTGATTAAAGCTCCAGAACTAGTCTCCATCCGATGACGTCGTTGACGCCGCTTGGCTCGCGTTTTCCCACTGTCCAGAAACATGTCCCTTGTACTTACTCGTTCAAGGTCATCGCTTGACCTGACGAGACAAGTCCCTGACAAGTCCCTGGGTCAGTCATTCGCCAGTTAAGATAGGTTGAGACTGGTTCCAATGCACCAATTTATCTTGCTGGCCTGGGATAATATGGTATCGTCCTATCTTCAAGGCGATGTGCAATATGGATTTTGATTTGGTGACCTCAGGTCACAGCTTTCGGTGGCGGCACAACGCCGGAGTTTTCGACGTAATCTGGTGTGGTTTACACCTGTAGCGATTGATGTGAAATTGAATGGTTTGTGATTTTCAGCGTTTCTTGGTTTCTGTATAGAATTCCGGATCTTCCATGCCATAATGTGTTTCAGGCCAATGCGTAAAGCATATGGGTATAGCGGCGCATGAGTGAAACTGAGCAGAAAGCCGATCAGATTCTTTTGTTTATTCGTTCTAAGACCACATTAAGGACATTTCTGGAATTCACATAGCATTTCTGATCAGGTAAGTAACAGCACGTGTCAATGTTGACATGTGTCGGTCGGCCTCGTTTAACCCTGGGGGCGTGACCGCTTGCTGCTCCCTGATCTGCTTTGGGCGACGAGTCAGACCGCTGCGAGCCTCCGTTGATACAAGTCTCAACAGCATCGAGGGGTTTTCCGGTTTCTGCTAGAAATGAACACCGAAGTGTTGCTAACTTCACACGCACGAAGGTACAGGTGTTTTTCTCAAAGCAGTTCCCGACGGTCATCTTACAGTTGACGAATCCATCCTGTCGGAGGGGTTGCGAGAAGGCTCGCGGGAGTTTGCTCTGCCAACCCGTTCAGGGTCGGGTGGACTTTGAGCGGGCAGACAGAACAAAGGGTATGTAGATAGGCTGAGGGGAGATTTTGATTTTGGTGCGCTTGAGGCTGTCTCAGTGTCTCCTTTCGCCTGCTTTGTATGGCGGTGCCACCGTAACTTTCAGGCAATCAGTGAAAGTTTTTTATAATTGAGACGCATCTGCCCAAGGCACATTAATGTAGACGCCTTGGGGACTAGGTATGTTGTCTAGGTCGTCGTCCAGTATCGTCCGATTTGGACGGGCCTGGGGGAGTCCCAGTCAGTGTCGAAGCCAACTGCATTCTCTTCCTTACTCTTGCCGTCGATTGTGGCAAACGAGAACTGAGCAGCCCGGGCCACTGAAAGCTAGATGCGGCAAACGAAAACGAGAAGCCCTAAACGAAACAACTAAATAAAAAACGCCCTGACCGAAGCCGCAACATGAGAAAGCTAGCAAGGACTACGTTTGCTCCAACATACGCGGTATAACAAGCACGGTCATCCGACGAGCTTGTGGCCTTGAGTCGATATTGGTATAGCGGATCCCCTGCAAACCCCGCTGGTGCTAGTCTTTCGTTACGATCCGCATGTTGGATTATTCAGTCGGCTGTCGGCTCAAGTTCACCTCCTCGAAATAAGACATTAAAAGCATATCCATGTCGTTGGGTCATTCAAGCAAGACATTTCCGTAGCTGAACGAACTCCCATAGATTGTTTCATGCCTAGCAAACGAGCATCCACACAGCAATACCGACGGGGACCAGCAAACGACCTGTTGCGCAGCGCCATCTGTAGATGTCGTCCGTGTCGCCCATCAGGGGGCGACATCTGGATGACAACGCAAAGTCAAGCGCAGTCACTTCGGCCCCGTTTCCAGGACCTGTTTGTTTTTTTACCGGATTCTCAGCATCGCGAGGTCTCAAAAAGCGGTAGCTTGCCAACAGTTGACACACACGGGCTCTCCGCCGCCCAATTGCAGCGGCATCATCGCCCGCGCAGTTACACAGCACTCGGGGCGTGTTGGCTGGCGTTCATTCAGAGGCTCACCGGCTGATCGCGTCTGCCAGCAGTCTTTGAGCCGACAGGCTCAGATCGGATCAGCCTATCAGTGCAGGGGGAACACAGAGCGGCATGATCAGTGCAGGGGGAACACAGAGCGGCATGATCAGTGCAGGGGAAACACAGAGCGGCATTATCAGTGCAGGGGAAACACAGAGCGGCATGCAGCTGCAATAGCTGTCTTGAAGGTCACCTTGAAGGCTCATCAGAGCCCCTTCCCAGAAACATGGACGGGATTTCAGTGCCGCGTTCGGCAGTGTGAGGTCCGTGGTTAGGGTCCGGCGCACGTCCGGTCCGGTAAGCCTGGTGGAATCAGCTGCCTCTAGCGCCCCGCTGCCCCCCCCCCCCCCCCCCCGGACGGCACGGTGACGGGCTGGCAGAGAGCGGGGAGGTGGCAGAGCTGGTCTGTCTGCCCTCTCAGACGGCACGGTGACAGGCTGGCAGAGAGCGGGGAGGTGGCAGAGCTGGTCTGTCTGCCCTCTCAGACGGCACGGTGACGGGCTGGCAGAGAGCGGGGAGGTAGAGGAGCTGGTCTGTCTGCCCTCTCAGACGGCACGGTGACGGGCTGGCAGAGAGCGGGGAGGTAGAGGAGCTGGTCTGTCTGCCCTCTCAGACGGCACGGTGACGGGCTGGCAGAGAGCGGGGAGGTAAAGGAGCTGGTCTGTCTGCCCTCTCAGACGGCACGGTGACAGGCTGGCAGAGAGCGGGGAGGTGGCAGAGCTGGTCTGCCTGCCCTCTCAGACGGCACGGTGATGGGCTGGCAGAGAGCGGGGAGGTGGCAGAGCTGGTCTGTCTGCCCTCTCAGACGGCAACGGTGACGGGCTGCAGAGAGCGGGGAGGTAGAGGAGCTGGTCTGTCTGCCCTCCTCAGACGGCACGGTGACAGGCTGGCAGAGAGCGGGGGAGGTAGAGGAGCTGGTCTGTCCTGCCCTCTCAGACGGCACGTGACGAGCTGGCAGAGAGCGGGGAGGTGGCAGAGCTGGTCCGCCGGACCTCTCAGACGGCACGGTGACGGGCTGGCAGAGAGCGGGGAGGTGGAGGAGCTGGTCCGCCGGACCTCTCAGACGGCACGGTGACGGACTGGCAGAGAACGGGGAGGTGGCAGAGCTGGTCTGTCTGCCCTCTCAGACGGCACGGTGACGGGCTGGCAGAGAGCGGGGAGGTAGAGGAGCTGGTCTGTCTGCCCTCTCAGACGGCACGGTGACAGGCTGGCAGAGAGCGGGGAGGTAGAGGAGCTGGTCTGTCTGCCCTCTCAGACGGCACGGTGACGGGCTGGCAGAGAACGGGGAGGTGGCAGAGCTGGTCTGTCTGCCCTCTCAGACGGCACGGTGACGGGCTGGCAGAGAGCGGGGAGGTAGAGGAGCTGATCTGCCGGCCCTCTTTATCGTCGGTCATGCTGTCGCCACTGAGCCGGGACCAATCTTCACCGTGTGTCTCTCAGGCAACAGAGCCGAGCTCGGCATCCTCTACCCATAAGCGCTCGCAGTTGTTCATTATTAGTCGTTTTTCCGTCCCCTCTTTTCTTATATTGCAATTTTTGTTAACGATCTCAATGTGTTTGTCAATGTTTACTCTCATTCCAATGCTATCATTCTTTTGTTCAGTTCACTCATGGGCGAAATGTTGCTTGCTTAGTGATTCTACACGGTAATTGCGCCAGAAAGTTTAAATATCAGTCACAAACTACGCGACAAGAGTATCGACATCGATGGTTCTAGAGAAGGTCTTCGCGGGGCGTTTGATGTTGAGAAGCGTGATACACTTTGGAGTGATACGATAGAGCAGGTCAAAGATAGATGGATACCTATTGTAACAGGGACTCTGTAGCTTCAACCGTAAACTGGTTTTAACATCACAAGTCATGCGAAGTAATGTAGCTGATGAGATGGTTTACGTACGTTATTGTTGTTGTCTTACTTGAACTGTTGCGATGGTCCGATTTTGGCTATGCAGTGTGCTTAATGATACATGTACCCAGTCCACTTTAATCGCGTCTTAATACCAAAGGGGTATTGCGGAAACATTCAATACATCACACCAAAAAATCTTCCCGACGCTTCTTCTCAGCGCTGTCTTTTGCCCAGCCACTGGCCGGACCGGGCAGCGGCCCGACCTGACGCCATACATCACAGGTGACGGACGAGCCCGGTCGCTGGTCCGGCCAGTCGCGCCACGTGGTGAGGTGTCCTTCCCCTTCCCCTCCGTTCCTGGCCAGGATCACACCGCGTCACGTCGTCCAATTCCATCACATGTCGCAGTCCCGCTCTCAAAAGCGGCGTCCCGCACCACCACCGCCGCCACGCGCAGGGCTGTGGTGCGGGAGCGCCATAGCCTTCCCTGCCGTGAGTGCATCAACTCCGGACAGGAGTGACATTGTGTCAGTGCTGGCTTGGCGCGGGATTCCTCCGTTCGGCAGATGCGGGCATGACAGGCCGCCCACAGGCCCCGTGTATTCGCTGCACGCGGCAGCACATCATCGACACGCAATACACACAACACCGCACGAAGCCGCAAGACGGGAACAGTGCTCCACCCAAGACCGAGAAATCCCGCGCTGAGGCGAGGGCCGGCTTTCACGGCGCCGAGCCGAAGCAGGGACGGAGAGGAGATGCGCTGGGAGGCCGCGGAGCCGTCTAGCGTCGACGCTATAACCGAAGCGTATA